CCACCGCAAAATATTTCTTTTGATATTAAAAAATAACATAATAGATACTGTCCACCGAGCGTTTGATACCAAGTGCCAACCAATATACCACCTCAAAAACTAAAGCTAGTTCTAGTCCTCAACCGTTAGCGCAATTGGATATCGATTCCTTTCCACGAGAACCAATGTCTCGAAATTGCATTATCTTGAATGTTTGTTTCATGACCATCCCCAATATGATTATTTGATGATTTCAACTCATCAAGTTTTCTCCTCAATTTGGAAACCTCCGCATAAATTCTGTTCAGAGAACATAGATCACTATAAAAGGTAAGAAACTTGTCTTGAGTAAGCTCAAGTGACCCTTTTTGTCCTGTACAAGTGCAAAACTTATGGACCTATCAATTGGTATTAATGGGGAGATTGATGCTCTTATTTAGAACACATCCTTGCATTTGTTAGTCAGATAGGTTGCATAGAAGATCGAGCAACTGTATTCCTCAACACATAGAAATAGACATTTATCTGATCACAAACCAAGCATTATTAATTCCATGAGCAAGCAATATAAATTAATTCCATTTAATACCATTTACAAAACTCGTACAAATATATAATCTACTTCAAAAAGTTTCGATTGACTTTAATTACATGGAGTAAAATAATATCTTATTTGTAAGTTTGACGTCACAAAATTATTCGATATTTTTTATACTTATCTAAATTCATAGTTTCATATAAGGTTCGTTTGATTACGAGAATGGAATTTGGGTGGAAAGAAAATAAATTCAAGGGAATTGAATTGCCCAAAACTTGTTTTACTGGAAATTGTCAATTAATTGTGTTTGATTGATATAATTTTCCACCTGAAAAATATTGAAATTTTGGATTTTTTGATGTTCATTCGACTTTATTTTTCATGGAAATTGTCCATTAAAGGGATATAATTTGTTTCAATTGTCCAAAAAAAAAAATGCCTAGAAAACCAAAAACCACCAAACCCATGGAAAAACCAATTAAGGAAAAAGTGAAAAATGGGGTCCCGTGAGGTATAAGTTGGAAAACAAATTGCCTAGAAAAATTTCATATCAAATAGCCTAAAAGGTAGAAAATGAAAAATAATTTCCAAATTCCATGAAAAATTCTTCCTATCAAACCGGGTCTAAGATTCATTAAGAAGAAGTAATTCATTTCGCAATGAATCTTATATGTAAACTTTTATTATTACACTACTTTTTAACATGCATCGAGACTAACATATAATTTTTAAAAAATTAATACATTTTACTTTTATTTCACTCTAATTCAAATATTTGTAACGAATAAGTAAGTAAAAATGAAAAAAAAAAGTAGAAATGAAATTTACCTGTTTATTGTACACATGTTTATTGTGACAATCACTGCTTGAGCTGCAATCATTATGATTATCCTGTTTTCCAGACACAACATGCACATTTTAGTATACACCATTAAATTCTAATGAGAAAATGACTATCAGTCAAGTGAAGAAGGTTTCTTTTCAATTTTCAAAGCGAAGGAACGAAAAAAAACATCATTGATTCAATTCTAGGGTTTAGACGTTTAGTTGTCCGAAAAAAAAAGAACTAACAAAAATAATTCATCACAGAGAATACAAACCAACAAAATCAAACCACAGAGAAAGAAATGTTGTAATTATTCAATAATCATGCTAAGAACAAGAATCACTTGGTAAATGAAATTCATACATGCGGAAGATATTTTTGTTTATGAATATTACCAATTAGATCTTCATCTTGCTCCTCAAAATAATTAATCGTCAATGGGGCAAGCAAATTCGATATGGAGGGAAGTGATGACCTAGCAACTATATAGGAAATCATAAAGTCGCCCATTCCAACTCTAACCCTAATTAGGATTTACTTAATTCCGGCTCATATACTTAAAATTATCACATTATAATAATATAGCCCGTAAAGTGTACAACGCCAAAGTGATCACGAACATATTAAGCCTAATCATAATATTATTACAAATCATACATCTAACCCGGAAGAATTGCAATCAAATGGAAGCCCACATAATAGAATAATTCCAACAAGAAATAGTGAAATTAGTTCACTCAGCACTCCCGTTGTAAACACAGTGTAAACCCATTCTTCAAGAATAGCTTCATCCGCAGAGAGGCTCTCCGACGAAATTATGAAGCTTATTGAGAGTCTCGGGAGAAAGAAAATGAAAAGAGAGAAAAAGGAAGGAGACATATGGATGGTCGTCTAGAAAATTGTGGAGTAAAGAGAGATGTCAGATGGGTAACTGTGAGAAGAGAATAGATATGATTGTTGTGTGAAATGTCCGTACTGGGGGTTGTGTGTAGTAGATTTTTTTTTGGTTTGTACGAAAATAATACGACATCGTTTTACGTTCTCAGAAAAGAAAAGAAAGAGGAAATAGTAAAGGAAGGACACCAATTCCAATGAACAAGGACATCTTTTATTGTAACGAAAGCTATCTAAGTCGTTTGAATGTAATATAATCTACTTAAACCCGGCTATCCAGCCGGACCCCGGCCCACGGTTGCTTGGTGTATCCATCTATATATACACACACGTGAGGAGCGACAGTGTGTTGCTCTCTCCCTCCCTCGCTCCCTCTGATTCTCTTTCTAGATTCATCGCTCTGTACGCTATATTTATATACGCGCATATATATTGAGAGAGGTTGGAGGTATACAGAATGTCGCAAAACGGGAAATTGATGCCGAATCTGGACGAGAAGAGTACGAAGGTGCTGAATTTGACGGTGCTACAGCGAATCGATCCGTTTGTTGAAGAAATTCTAATCACCGCCGCCCATGTTACCTTCTACGAATTCAACGTTGATACAAGCCAATGGGTACGGTATCAAACACACTAATCTAGGAATTTATGTACTGTGCGTGGATATGCGGGCTAGTATTGCTTGCGGAGTTTGTCTTATTGATTTATAACGCTTCTGTGTTTTCCAGAGTCGAAAGGACGTGGAAGGTTCTCTCTTTGTGGTGAAAAGGTGGGGTTTTTTTCCCGGAATTTCTGAGAATTTCGACTGTGTTTTTAGGCTGAGACCTGAGTTTTTAGGGGTTTTTATGGAATTTACTTTGTTGGCTTCATTTCCTCTGATTTTGCTCTTTTTGGGTGGATGGGGGAGTTTGATGCGAATTGTGCAATTTCCACGGTGCAGTGTTTTCAGTAATTTTTGGTTTTGGTGTTTCAGGAATACTCAACCTCGTTTCCAGTTTATAGTAATGAATCGCCGGAATACAGGTTACTCATTATATTTGGTTACATTTAGTTGAATAATATAGGAAATTGATTGCAATTAATAAGAAATTGTGTGAAAATGCAACTAATACAAACACGGATGATGGTTTATGCCTTTTTTTTTATTGATTTGAGCAGATAATTTGGTGGAGAATCTGTTGGCAGATTTCGAGTATGAAGTGCAGGTTCCATATTTGTTGTATCGTAATGCTGCTCAAGAGGTAAATGGAATATGGTTCTACAATGCACGTGAGTGTGAAGAAGTTGCGAATCTCTTTAGCAGGTCGATGTTTTATTTTATTCCTCTTCGCCATTTTCTTATTTAAATCCTATATCTACTCAAAGTCAAAATATTTCTTTTTTTCTATGTGTGTAATAGTATTGTCTGTTTATGTATTGTTTGTTGCTTGTATTAAGCACGCAAGTAAATAAGATTATTTATGGCAACCTATGAATAATTGAATGCCTGGTCAATGCTTAATTTCAACTAGCTGGAAGAATAAGGGAAGTTAATTTAAAACCTTGAATTTCTAGATTTTCTTGAAATC